TGTACTGTCTGTTATTCCTCACAGACACCAGTATGTGTTGTGTGGTACCTCACAGACACCAGCATGTGTTGTGTGGTACCTTATTGTGGTTTTGATTTGTGTTTTCTAATAGTTGGTAAATGAAGCATTTTTTATGTTTTTATTAATGGTCTTTGGAGAAGAGTCTATTCAAATCCTAGCATCATTATTTAATTGCGTTATCTCTCACTTTATTATTAAGTTCTTTTTAGGCTCTAAATGCAAATCTGTCATGTATTTAACACAAATATTTTGACCATTCTGTGCTTTCTTTAAGAAATGTATTTGTGTCCACATGATGATTGGGGGCACACAGTATGGTGCACGATGTGGAGGTCAGAGGACAAGCCTGTGCACTTGGTTCTCTCCTTCCACCTCAGTGTGGGTTCAGGGGATCGAACTCAGGTCTGCAGACTTGGGTAGCAAGTGCTTTACCTCCTGAGCAATTTACCTCCCCATCTTTTCCCTTTCTTGTTGTATGCTTTGAAGTATAAAACGTATTATTTTTGATGAAGTACAATTTATTGATTTATTTCTTTTGTTTCACGTTCTTTGGGTGTGCCATCTAAGAAGACTGCTCCTTCCGTGGTCACAGAAACTTACTCCGGTACCTTCTGTCGCTTAGGTTTGAGTGGTTAAGCTCAGGCCTGAGAAAGGGGAACCAACTTTACTCTTTTGGGATTTGTGCATCTTTTCTTTTTTTAAACTGATCTTTTTTTCCCCTCATTTTATTTATTTATTTATTTATTTATTTATTTATTTATTGAGCACCCATCAATAATTTGTATATCACACTGGGTTGCTTGTCTTTAGTATGAGAAGACGACAAAGGTTTGATAATTTTATAGGACGTGCCGCTACTGCTTCTTGTCATGTTTATGTCCTTACAGCATTTGAGCTGGGTGTGCTGGCACACACCTGTAACCCCAGGGTCGCAGGCAGCGCTGTCCACTGTCAGCCGGCCTGCAAACACCGCGCACTGTTTCTTTAGCGCACAACCCTCTGGGGTAATGTGGCTCAGTCATTTTACCTCAATTCTCCGTACTTATCACTGGGTTTTGGCCGAATTCCAGGAGTCTGGTCCATTCTGACTAACTCAGAATCCTTTTCAAAATGTACATCCTTCCGCTGCTGTGAAATTAAAACAGCCGCCCTTCCTGATGGTGACCAGGGGTCAGGAATCGGAAACAGAGGTCCCCTTCCCATCCAGGCCACTTTGTTTAGTGACACATGAGGAGCATAAACTGAAAAGGGCCTGAGGGCTGGCCAGCTGGGGCTGCTGTCTTTTGAAAGGGAAGGCAGGCTTAGAAGCTGCCTATCACAGGATCCTCTACCTATAGACCTAGTAAGAGGCACTGAGCGGGCAGGGGGCTTTGGAGTAGATCTCCAGTCTTGCCTAGCAAGTATTTTGTCTACTGAGCCACCTTGTTGGTTCCATGTTGGGTGAACCTGCAGCCCAGAGATTTCCTGAGCTGGCCTGGCTGTGGTCTCAATTTCAACACAATGTGGGAAGGCGAATGGGATTATGGACTGGAACTTGAGGCCCGTTGACCCCTCCCCAGGCCATATGTTGTGGCATCTCCCTTATAGAGGACGAGGCAGGGACATGGGAGAGATGCGGTTTCAGTGACCCAGTAGGAGCCCCGAGAAGACAAAATTTGATCTGCTCGGATCATTTTTGCACAATGTTGTAAAATCTTAGCTGTGGGTCTCTTTTCCCTGAGACTGCTGCCTGACTAACTCAGCAAAATGTCCTGAGAAATTAATTCTGCTGACACTTCTGTGAGGCACCTATACTTGCGCCATTTGCATAATTTGCACCAACTTCTGCTCCCTTCTTCAGAGATGCATTTGGCTCATTCCTATGCCAGAGATGAGACCTCACCTTCCTGGCATTGTCTCTGCCTTGAAGCTGAATATATGATTAAAAAGGCACAAGCATATACACACCACCCGGCGTGTGGTGCAGTCGTGTGCTACATGTAGCGCTCACCTTCGTGAGAGCCTCACTGTGCTATTCACCATCCCCTCCTAAACCTGCAAGGCTGGGAGTTCCAGCCATCCGTGAATAAAGGATGCTCCTGGACTTTAAGTACCCACAGTTAAATATGCAAGTGCAGTGGTCCCCCAAGCTATGCAACAATACGCCTGAAGGATGCTCAGGAAACTGTTGCTGCAGCAAGGGAGGCAGCAGTGGAATGCGGTGGATAAGACCAGAAATGGTGATGGTCCTAGCAGGAGGGTCAGCCCTGCACAGTTTCCTGACCCAGAATGCAAATGGAATCCCTGTTGGGATACACTGATGTGCCCACCTGCCCGCTCTTCAGCTCTGTGTCATTGAGTCCATTGGTGTGTTCTTGTCTACCTAGTCTGGTAAGCAGTGGGAGGGGTCGAGGAGATCTTGAGCATCAGCTTAATCCATGGCTTTCCTTTCCCTTTCTGCTTGCCCTGTGATCTAGATTTGTCCGAGTTCCATCCCTAGGACCATCTTCCATCTGCAGCTTCATTCCTGCTGGCTAAACTTGACCTTCTTCTTGTTATCCCCATTAATATTGATAACAGCCCACATTTGCTGAGTACTTGGTAGCACGGAAGATGCTGGGTGATTCTTACATGTTATTTCATTTTGTTGCTATAGTAACCGCTGGAAAGAGGACATTAGAATAGCCTTTGTGGGGGTAAAAATGAGGTTTTGAGAGAGCTTAAAAACATGCTCATAGCCAAAGTGGTATGGGGTGCAGGAAAGGTTCGGAGGGGCCCTGTGGGCATAGCTCTGTTCAGCTCAGCATTACCAGGGATCTATGAGGTGCCGTGAACTGTCCACCAGGACTGCCTTCCTTAGGCCCATGGACTTTTTGTCATCTCCCCTGCCGGTCTGCTGTCCATACTGCTATTCCTTCAGCTAAGAAATGACATCTCTTGGCCCGGCTGACTCCCGGGCAACTTCAACCTCACTTCCTTGGAGAACCCGTCTTGGTGGGGGCCTCCCATCTATGCACCCTTATTTCCTTGATCATCAGCATTCATGACAATGTTTTGTGTTTCTGCTCCTTATTAGACTCTGAGGGATTGTGACATTTTGAGTTCCGAATCCTCAGGGCCAAGCTCTGCTCCTGCATAGATCCCTGTAGGAAATGGGCCTAGCGGTTGCTTCTAGCCTCTGGCTCTTTTCTTTCCAAACATGCTCTATGTGTGATTTTCCTAGCCTCAGCCTTCTGGACCTACTGGCTCTGTGTGTGTGTGTGTGTGTGTGTGTGTGTGTGTGTGTGTGTTGCTAGGGATGTAACCCAGGCCTTCTGGACCCACTAGTCATGTGTGTGTGTGTTGCTAGGGATGCAACCCAGGGCTTTGCCTGTGTGGCAAGCACTCCCCTGTTGAACTCTACCCCTGGCCTTCTTACATGGGATTCTGTTTTGCTAGGTTAACTCCAAGGTTGCTTGGTTCATTGTTTACTTGCTTGTTGATTGTTTGTTTGGAGACAGTATCAATATGTGAGCCAAATGAACTTTGAGCTCATGATTCTGTTCCCCAGTTTCTAGAGTGATGGGATTACAAACTTGGGTCATTCCACCTGGCTCTAGGTGAGAACTTAATGGAGCCCAGGTAGGAAGACCCGCAGTGGTAGAGACTAGAGACAGAAGCTCCATGGTCATGTGGGGACCACTGGACTGACAAACTGTGGTGGGGGAGGTGGACTCCCCAGGCCATACAGATTGCTTAATTTCTCTAACTTCAGGGTCATTGCAGGAGAATCCAACCTGAGACTAGAGGGGTCCCTAAACCTAAGAATCCTCAGCCTACATGATAGAAGTAGATAGAAGAAAAGTTTTTTTTCTATTGTTTTGGAAAAATAATAGAGAAATATCCATTCCTTGAATGATGTTCTTGATTAAACATTAAGAAGAACTAACTTATGAGTTTAAATCCAGCACACATACCTCTAGGCCTGACACGCCCTCCTATGACTACATTCTGATGGTCCCTGCAAGGTCCCTGGGGCACACACACATCATCAGGTCAGTGTGCTAGCTGCTGTGGTTACAGTTCCCTCTGTCCTCACTAAAATGGTAGCCCCGCCCACCTCTTCCTACTGTGCATCAGGAAGCAAAGGTTATGTAACTCACCCAAGACCGTGTGTCTCCTCCTTGGCCCAGAGAGAATTTGAACTCAGATCTGTCTGAACCCTGAGTCCAGTGTGACTCGGTGTCTCTTTCCATGTGTCACGGCCTTGTTATGGGCCAAGACCTCCTGTGCACAGCGTAGCCCTTTCACTTCCTCATTCCTTGTCACCTTAGCGAGCCAGCTGGGCTGCAGAAAGCATGAGGAAAGGGAGGCCCAGCTGTGACAGGGCGTCGGTGCAAAGGACACTTGGCTGGCTTCTCTTTGTCAAAGCAGAGGAGAAACCTCCGCCAGACAGCAGGTGTAAAGAACGGGAAACCTTTCTGTTCTTTTCTCGCCGTGTTGCTCACCAAGCAGAAACGGTTGGAAACGCTCTGGGCCAAAGAACAGACCTGCGGTTACTTTTTTTCAAATCCAAATTTTGTTTCTCTACATCCAGAAAAATAGTCCATCTAACTCCACTAAGAACCCTGGACTCATAAATAGATCCCCCTTCCCCCGAACATAATCAAAATGATAATTTCCCCCTCTGGGCTAGACCAGCCCCGGTGGCCCAACTGCAATTACCGTCTATCTGCCAGACAACTGTGCTATCTCATTTTGTCAATCCATACTAATTTTCAGCAATGCAAAGCGTGGGGTGGAGCCCCTCCCCCCGCTTCTTGGCAGCTCAAATCCTCTCGGTCTCCAGAGGCAGGCCCGACTGCTGGAAGCCAAACGGAATTTGCAATTCCCACGGTGGCCTTTCTCGTTGTTGTGCAAACACCACCCTCGGAGGTACCTGCCGAGGGAGCAGCATTCAGTGCTGTACAGGGCCTGGGTCAACAAGGTCAGGACTACGACAGCCACCATCCTAACCAGGCCACAGAGCCACTGCCCCTTTCCTCGGAAGTGTTGCCTCCGAGGTCAGCTCCAGCTGCAGAGTGGGTCTTCACTAAATAGGGGATATGGGGAGGAGGCTGTCAGCGTTCCCTGGAGTGCTTCAGTGTTTTCGGTGTACAAAAATAAAAGTGGGCCCATCGATGACAGAGGCATTTCCTGTTCTGGATCCCTTCTGCAAACGGAGCCCAGTGTCACGAGGTGGGTGATGTAGATAATTACACGGTGTGCTGCAGGGGCCGATTCAGAGCTGTCACCAAGAGGACTCCTGATGACAGGCAGGTCAGCACTCTTATTTCCATTGTCCAGAGTGCTAAGGAGAATGAGAACGTGGCATCCGGGCCCTGTGTGTCAGCGCTGATGAAGTCAGCATTTGATCACTTCTAGGATAGATTATATTTAATCATTGAATGATTTATGTCACTTTATTCCATGGTTGCCAGCACTTCTGTGGCACAGAGAGCAGGGGGAGGGGAAGCAAGCTAAAACACAAACACAGCATCACCTCACTGGCAGCTTTGCAGGCTCGCTCGCTCGCGTGGAGTAGGAAGTTTCACGCTCGTAGCTGTGCCGCCGTGGGCTGACTTTTGCAGAAAGGTATATTTAACTCGTTGCTATCACACTCTCTCTTAGAATTGACACAGAAGCAGCTTTTCTAAAAGAACACGAGGCTGGACCTCAAACTTCTGTGCTCTAACTAGAAGTCACACCAGCGTCCAGGCCACCCCGCTGTTTGACACCCCCACATCTTTGAAGCCAAGCTGTCTCTCCCTCACTCAGTACGCTTCTTCTGTTGTTTTCTTTTTCTCCTAGCTCTCGGACACACCCTTAGCCTCCTTGGCTAATTCCTAGCTTCTGCCTGCAGCTCTGTGGTGGGGGTGGTACCCCGGACATACAGTTAACCTTTCTCTGTTCCATCCTTCTCTTCCTCAGAGCTGTCCCCATCCATTTAGATGCTAGAGTCATTTATCCCTGCACAGCTCACAGCCTGCTGGGTGTTAACACATAGATGCCTACTAGGCATCATAGATTTAATTAATTAAAAATGGAACTAAATATTATTTCTCCTTCCCGCTGCTCCATCTGAGCCCTCCATTGTCACAGTTGCTTAGCATTATTAAGAATTCTGTTCATGGCATGCATTCTTTGAAAAGCAGTCTGGGTTTGATAGACCCAGCTATAAAATACGTGTGCTCTTTGCTCTGATTTGCGTATGATCAGTATGGCTCCCACGGGTCTGTTATGGTTGGAGGTTTGAGTCCCTGGGTGGCTCTTCAGCGTTGTGATGAAATCCTTAGGAAAGGGACTCCCGTGGGAACGTCCCTACACGCTGGAGCTGGCACGTTCTGGGTGACCCTTCACTGCTTCTCAGGTGACATTTCAGCAGTTCTTACGAGAGGGTTATTATTAGAAAAGAAACCCACTGGTCCCCACACAACTCTCTTCTCTTCCTGGGGTCCCACAATCGCCACCACCATCCATCATATTTCAGCCACCAGGAGGCAACAGAGCCAGTGAGTGCCTTCAGGGCTGCAGTATGTCATTTGGGGCCTGAACTTCCTCAGGAGTCTCCTGTATTGGTTTTTTATTTTATTTTATTTTTTCCCACCATAGTGAAGCCCACTGTTGGTCTCATTAAAATCACAGCTTATTTCTATAAGGTCACGTGTCTACGATATCATTTTTTTACTGGCTGGAAACTGATAGCATGAATGTCCCTCTGGGGAGATGGGTGTTGGCAAACACAGCCAACTATGTAGCTCTTTGATATGAAAGATGTGTTCTTCAAAACGTGTTGTGTTTTGAAGTAAAAAAGCACCTTGCAAATTAGTGTAGTTAGTAGTAGCAAACTTTACCTGTGTCTTTGTGCTCAGGTGGGCACAGGGAAGGGAGGTCACCTCATAGACTTCACCCTGGCGCCCCGGTGGGGCAGGGGTGTGGAGGAGCAAGCACGTGCTACCTTCATAATACATAAAAACCACTTTATTGCTAATCCTCGCCTTTCTTGCTGATCACTCCAGGAAGAATGTCAGCCTCACTGGCTGTCCTGCCCTCCTCCTTTGGATGAGTCATTGTGTTCAGGTCTGTGCCCTTTAACCTACAAAGTCACCAAGGGCAGGGACTGTGTTGTGTATCTTGTCACTTGGACGCCTCCTGGAACACACAGTAACTGACGTGCAATGAGGATTTAGTGTGATTGCTTTACGTTTCTATTGCCTGGGCAACTCATGACTCTTTCTCCTAACTCACAGATATCGCAAATGCCTTACCAAAACCGTCACCTCACACACAAACTCCCCTCTTGTTCTCTGGAAGATTTCTCCTTGGAACACCATGTCCTGTCCTATTTATTCCAGGTTCTGTTGTTCAGTCTTCTGTGTATCTCTCCCATTTCTGCATCCTGCTCTTGGTATCCCTGTATTCATTCATATCACAATTATAAGAAGTCAAAAATAGCATCTGTAATGACTGTGATGATGAGGCTAGTCAGAGAGCTAATGGCTTTGTGTGTCACTGGGAAACATGAAACCTCACTTAGACACTAGCTCCAAACTTCCAAAAAGTTTCTCTACATCAGAGATTGAGTGGAGAGCCCGTCCTAGGAAAATGGCTGCCGTTCTCCAGAGAACCTTTCACCATGCCTGCAGCCTTCTTCATACCCCGGCCCGACACTCGCACACAGGCATACTGGACTGACCTTTGTGTGAACCTCAACCTGCTGACTCACGAGTTCGCTGGCTCAGATCCAGCCATCTTTCAAGACTGATGGCTAATGCCTGAGTCTCCTGAAAGGGGCGTGGCCGATGTTCAGCCAGACTTGATGGATACATCGTCCCATGGGTCTTTCTGTCAATCCTCTGTGCACTCACTGCCCCGTGCTGCATTCCAGAGCTTTGACAGGCGCTGACTGCGCATCTGCCACTGGCCAGGCATGGTTGATCAGACTGTACAACACACAGTGTAACCAGCCATGATGTCACTGACATGCAGAGGAGCCGCAGCACAGGATGCCTTAGAACAGGTCCGGTTAAGTCATCAAGATGCTATTTGTATCCCGCAAACATCACAGGTTGAGACTTCAGTACCAGCAAGTGTCCAACCCTCTGCTGGTTCTCCAAGTTGCCATACCCTCTCTTGCCGCTTCACTCATGGAAAAGTGGGACACGTGCTAATCCACAAAAATGCTGCTTGTTAGAGAGGGGATTTTTGTATTCTGCTAAACTCTAGTGATAATAAGTAATGAATAATTGATTATAGTGAAAATGTAGTGCACACACAGCGGAATTTTATTCAGTTATAAAGAAAAAGAAAATCATGTAATTTCTAGTAAAATAGGTAGATCTGGAATTTATATTAAGTTAAATAATCCAGATTCAAAACAACAAAAATAGCATGTTCTTTAATATCTATCATCCATCTATCTATCTATCTATCTATCTATCTATCTATCTATCTATCTATCATCTATCTGTCTATCATCTATCTATCTATCTATCTATCTATCTATCTATCTATCTATCTATCTATCATCTGTCTGTCTATCATCTATCTATCCATCATCTATATATCTATCATCTATCAATCAATCAATCAATCAATCAATCATTTATCTATCTATGGCCATGAATGTGCTTCCAGAGTGTGAAATCAGAAAGGGGAGGACTGGAGAGGGGAAGTGGTGTAAGGAGGGAGGGAGGATAATGGAACACATGTGACGTGAGAGCCCAAAGGAGGCTTCTGGGGGTGGAAGGGCTCAAGGGGGACACAGGTTAATGGGGGAGAATGGAGGATGGAGCCACAAAATGAGTTATGTTTGAAAATGCCATGAAGAAATGTAGTTCAGAGATCATGGAAGACGGGTGCCAAACAGTGTTGTCTGGACATCACATGACCACAGCACTCCTCAGCTCTCAAGTGCCTATGATTGCCTGTGTTCACCCCCACCCATTCCGAACTGAGGAACTATTGACTATTGATGAGGAGATATTGACTATTGATACCTTCTGGGGGAGGGAGATTCAGGTTTCTCTAAGCCTCTGGTAGGCTGAGTAGGTTCCTATGGAGGGCCTCACACCTGTGAGTAGACGGGTAGCACAAATTGAACTCAGTGGGTTATTTGGGGAAAAGAAAGAAGAAAGAGGGCACAACTTTGGGGAGGGGTGGCGAGGTAAGGAGTAGATCTGGGAGGAACTGGGGGTGGCAGTGGGAGGAATATGTCCAAAATATATTGAAATTTTCAAAGGATTAATAAAAATATTTTATTTTAAAAGAAATGTGATACTTTATATAATTCAATTTAAATACAAAAAGTAAGTGACAGAAAGATTTCAGACCCTTTGTGATGCTCATCTGTGAACAGCGATGATGTGGCAGCAGACGGCCGACAAGCCCCCAGAGAGCTTCATTGGGACGGTGCCTCTTGAACCCTTACCTTTCTACATTGTTGTTTTTGCTACCGGTATTGAATTTTGTTTTCAAGATGAAGTCTTGCTAGGTAGGGCCAGCTGACCTCAAACTTGCAGTGAGCCTCCCCCCCCCCACCTCCTGAGGGCTGGGATTGCAGGCATACACCCTCGCACCAAGCTGTCTTTGAATTTTTCAAGTTGTGGATATTAAACTAGCAACTACCACAGGGCTATTTTCCTCTTGCTCATAGTAAGATGAGCATGCTCTCCTTATTCCAGCTGGTCAGGCGTTCTGCTGTAGTCAGACCACCGGGGTGGGGGGAGGGGCGGGTGTCTATTGTCCATCTTGACTCTGTTGGGAGCCTACCACTCCACCTCACGCAGCAGCCTGCTGCAAATGAAACTAGTGGGGCTTTGCCCAGGGAGAGGAATTAAAAAATCAGCCCATAAAAATAAATGAATCTGTTTCCATAGTGAAGGGGATGGTTTTTTTTCCCTCTATAGTTTTTGTCCTGTGTTCCCCACAGACCCCTTAGGCAGAATAACAATAAACTTGAAGAAAACATTTTATTATCTTAATGGAGTCTTAATTTAAAGTCAAAAGCCTTTACATGATCTGCCCAAGGATACCGCTGGCCATAACTTCTGGTGTTGAATTCTTGCAAGGCATGGTATGAGGATTAGCATATCCAAGAGTGCACACAGCAGAGAGAGAGAGAGAGAGAGAGAGAGAGAGAGAGAGAGAGAGAGAGAGAGAGAGCGAGGAGGGGGGTGAGGAAGACCTCAAGGGGTGAT